GCCGTGCCAAAACATCATTTGTGGGATTGCAACACCGCGAATCAACGTAGCTGCTGCGCCCTGGCAATACTGAATCGTCCCAAAACACAGTGTCTTTTCTGTTACGTTATCATGATAATCCGTGAAGCTCAGCGTAGCGCTAAGGCGAGAACCGCATTTGAAAAGGGCCCGCCCTCAATCCGTGCAACTTTTGCATAACAAATCGACGGTGCGCGCTGCCAGGGCGAAAACCACATTTGAAAGAGCGTGTTCTACCGCTGCTGGCGGAAAACCGGGGGGGGTCACTACCGGTTCGAACCCCCCCCCCCCCCCCCCTCTCCGGAAAACCGGGGGGGGGTCACTACCGTTCGAACCCCTCCCCCCCCCCCCCCCTGCTCATAATGAAAAGGGGGGGGGGGGGGGTCACTACGGGTTCGAACCCCCCCCCCCCCCCCTCCGGATTCGGAAAACCGGGGGGGGGGGTCACTACCCCCCCTCGAAAACCGAGTGGGGGTGCGGACAGTGGTGGGGACGGTGTTGGTGGGGACAGTGGTGAGGGGATAGCGGGACAGCAGTGGGACAGTGGGACAGTGGTGGGGACGGTAGTGGTGGGGACAGTGGTGGGGACAATGGTGGGAACAGGGGGGGACAGTGGACAGTGGTGGTGACGGTGGTGGTGGGGACAGTGGTGTGGGGACAATGGGAATGAGGTGGAAACAGTGGGACAGTGGAGGGTACAATGGTGGTGGGGACAGTGGTGAAGGCGGTGGCGAGGACGGCGGTGGGACAATGGGACAGAGGTACAGTGGGGACAGTGGTGGGGACAGTGGGGACAGTGGTGGGAACAGTGGGACAGCTCAGTGGGACAGCGGAGGAGTCAGTGGGACAGTGGGGACAGTGGGGATAGTCGGGCAGTGGTTGGGGCCGTGGAGACAGTGGGGAGAGTGGAACCGTGGTGGGAACAGTTCTGGGGACAGCGGGGACAGTGCGACAGTGGTGGGGCCACTGGTGGGGACAGTAGGGGCGGTGGTGGAACCAGTGGGGACAGCGGTGGTGAGGACAGTGGTGCTGGGAACACCAGTGGGGGATGTGATGCGGACGGTGGTGGGGACCGGGAGTCGTTTGCTGGCGGTGAGTAGGGGGGGGGGTTCGAACCTGGTAGTGACCCCCCCCGGTTTTCCTGATCGGAGGGGGGGGGGGGGGGGGGAAAGGGTTCGAACCTGGTAGTGACCCCCCCCGGTTTTCGAGCGGGAGGGGGGGGCGGGGGGGGTTTGGGGAGGGGGGGGGTTTTGCCGGGGGAGAGGGGGGGGGGAGGGGTTCCAGCAGGGGGGGGGGGATTTTCGAAGGGGGGGGGGGGGCGACCCCCGGGTCCTAGGAAAAGGTTGGCAATTTTCCACAGTAAAGCGGCGGTGGATCACGCTCTCTCCCACATTTTGAAAAGGACCCGCCCTCAATCCGTGAAGCTCTTGCACATGTGTAAATGATTGTGCACGGCGCTAAGGCGAGAGCCACATTTTGAAAAGGACCCGCCCTTAATATGTGAAGTTCTTGCAAATGTGTAAAACGATTGTGCGCGGCGCTAAGGCGAAGCGACCCGCCCTCAATCCGTGCAGCTGTTGTCAATTCCTAAGCATCAGGGCCATAAGTGGTGAGGAAGTCTCAGGCGAAATGCCTGGCCCGCCCTTTCGACCAGCCTCGGGGTGCGACAGCGAGGAGTTATCTGTAAGGAACGGAGGAGGAGGAGGAGGAGGGAGGAGGGGGAGGGGGAGGAGGGAGGAGGAGGAGGAGGAGGGAGGAGGAGGAGTAGGAAGAGGAGGAGGAGGAGCAGGAGGAGGATGATGATGATGATGATGATGATGTGATGAGGAGGAGGAGGAGGAGGAGGGAGGAGGAGGAGGAGGAGGAGAGAGGCGGGGGAGGAGGTAGGAGGAAGTAGGAGGAGGGATGGAGGAGGAGGAGGAGGAGGAGGAGGAGGAGATGGAGAAGGAGGGGAGGAGAGAAAGGAGGATGAGAGGAGAGGAGAAGGAGGAGGAAGAAGGAGGATATGAGAAGGAGGAGGAGGGGAGGAGGAGGAGGAGGAGGCGGGAGGAGGAGAGGAGGAGGAGGAGGAGGGAGGAGTAGGAGGAGGAGGAGGAGGAGGAGGAGGAGGAGGAGGAGGAGGAGGAGGAGGAGGAGGAGGAGGAGGAGAGTAGGGGAGGAGGAAAGGAGGAGGAGGAGGCGGAGGAGGAGGAGGAGGGAGGAGGAGGAGGATGAGGAGGAGGGGAGGAGGAGGGAGGAGGAGAGGAGGAGGAGGAGGATGGAGGAGGAGGAGAAGTGGGAGGAGGAGGAGGAGGAGGAGGAGGATGGAGAGGAGGATGGAGGAGGAGGAGGAGGAGGGAGGAGGAGGAGGAGGAGGAAGAGGGAGGAGGGGGGAGGAGAGGAGGAGGAGGAGGAGGAGGAGGAGGAGGAGGAGGAGGAGGAGGAGGGAGGAGGAGGAGGAGGAGGAAGAGGAAGAGGAAGGAAGAGGAGGAGGAGGAGGAGGAGGAGGAGGAGGAGGAGGAGGAGGAGGGGAGGAGGAGGAAAATGCTGCTGATAATGATACTCATGATGCTGCTGATGCTGCTGCTTATGATGATGCTGATGATGCTGATGGTGATGCTGATGATGATGATGATGATGATGATGATGATGATGATGATGATGATGATGATGATGATGATGATGGTGATGATACTGACTATGCTACTGATGATGGTGATGCTGATATTGAGGATGATTATGCTGATGCTGATGTTGATGCTGCTGCTGATGATGCTGATGATGCCGATGCTGATGCTGATGATGATGATTATGCTGCTGATTATGATTATTCTGATGATGACAATTCTGCTGCTGATGATGCTGATGATGCTGATGATGTTGCTGATGCTGCTGATGATGATGAGGATGATGTTGATGATGATCATGATCATGATGATCATGATGACGACGAGGAGGAGGAGGAGGAGGAGGAGGAGGAGGAGGAGGAGGAGGAGGGAACGGGGGGCGTGGAGGGGGAATCGGAGGAGGCGGGGGCGGGAACGGGCGGGGTAGGCATTGGAGGGCGACCGAGGAGCAGAACGTCTCCTCGCCAATACTTTTTGTTGACGCCCCGAGCGCGGGGCTCCTCTGAAGCGTCGGGAGGAGTCCCGCACCCCTGGCCTCCGGGCGGCGCCCCCCCCCCTTCTGGCCAGGCACCTGGAGGGAGCGCCATCGAGGGGGAGAGCTCCCACCTCCTCTCCTCTCCTCTCCTCCTCTCGTCCTCCCTCCTCCTCCCTCCTCCTCGGCCCTCCTTCTCGCCCCGTCTCCGCCTTCTCCACCACCTCCAGCTCTTTCTCCTCTATCTCCTCCCTCTCCTCATCCTCCTTGTCATTCCTCTTCATGTTCCTCTTCCTCCTCCTCCTCTCCCGTAGCCCCCATGTTTTTTTTCCACGCCTCCTTTTGGGCGTAGGCCTGTTCTCCTGGTGGTGGTGCTGCTGCTGCTGCTCCTATTCCTCAACCTCTCTTTCCTCCTCCTCCTCCTCCTCCTCCTCCTCCTCCTCCTCCTCCTCCTCCTCCTCCTCCATCTCCTCCTCCATCTCCTCCTCCATCTCCTCCTCCATCTCCTCCTCCTGCCCGACGGCATTTTGTAATCGCTCAACGAGGATCAGTGACGGCCTGCTACTGCACGTCTGATTTTGGCTCCGCGACCACCTTCGAGTTTTCGGTCAAAGAGCAGATGTGGAAGGGCACCCTGGAACCTTGTATGGGGTCCGAAACTTCATCCTCCTTCCCTCCCCTATCTCCAGGAGGAGGATGATGATGATGATGATGATGATGATGATGATGATGCTGCCGCTGCTGATGATGAGGATGGTGATGATGATGCTGCTGCTGCTGATGATGATGGATGGATGATGATGGATGATGATGATGATGATGATGATGTGATGATGATGATGATGATGCTGATGATGATGATGATGATGATGATGATGATGATGATGATGATGATGCTGATGATGATGATGATGATGATGATGATGATGATGATGCGGAGGAGGATGAGGAGGCCCGGCGCGATGGATAGCGCGGCCGGGGATAATCATGGAGTATCGTGGGGAGTAAGTGGAGGAGGAGGACGAAGAATCTGAAGAGGGGAGTGGAGCAGCAGAAGGGGGCGGAGGAGGAGGAGGTGGATGCCTCTTCGGCGTGCCCTCTGGGGGCCCGACACCTCTCCCTCCCTCTTTTTCAAGCTCCTTGTTCGAGTCATGCTGCGCTGTGTCAGGCCGAGCGTGAATTGCTGGCGTCTGGGGAGTAGGGAGCGCTGGCGTCTTGCGTCTAATGATGATGCCGCTGTCCCCCTCTTCTCCCTCAGAGTCGTGTCCAGAGACCCCCCTGACCAGCGGAACCGCCGAATCATGAGCAGAATTAGGACGGGGAGAAGGTGGGTGATGATGATGCTGATGCTGATGCTGATGCTGATGCTGATGCTGATGATGATTATGATGATGATGATGATGATGATGATGATGATGATGATGATGATGATGATGATGATGATGCTGATGCTGATGCTGATGCTGATGCTGATGCTGATGCTGATGCTGATGATGATTATTCGGATGATGATGATGATGATTATTCGGATGATGATGATGATGCTGATGATGATGATGATGATGATGATGATGATGATGATGATGATGATGATGATGATGATGATGATGATGATGATGATGATGATGATGATGATGATGATGATGATGATGATGATGATGATGATGATGATGATGATGATGATGATGATGATGATGATGATGATGATGATGATGATGGCGATCGCAGCGACGACGACGACGGCGACGTCCTCCCCTCCTCCTCCAGATCCTCCTACCTCTCCCTTCCCCTCCCGCTCACTCCCTCGCCCCGCTCCTCTTCCCCCCCTTCCTCCGATCTCCTCCCCTCTGCTCCCCCTTCCCGCTCCTTCCCTCCCCCCCCCCTCTTCCTCGACCTGGGCGGAGGAGCTCTGCCCCCCCCGCCGGCTCTCCCGGTCCGCGTTCCCGCCGCCCTGCCTTTGTCCGTGTATAGGCAGGCACTGACTGACCCGGCGCGGGCCTGCCCTGACAGCTCGGCGCTGCCCCCCCCTCGGCAACTTTCTTCCTCGCCGTCATCGTGCCGCCGTCGTCAACACTCGAAGAAGAACAAAAACACCATGAGCATAGACTTTGGCGCTTCGCGCGGATCTCTTGGATCGGCGCTGGGCCCCCCTGGCGGCGCCTCTGGCGCCGCCCCTGGCGCGCTCCGCGCGCAGGGGAGGGGGGTCCGGCGCAGATCCAAGAAATCCGCGCGGAGCGCCAAAAGTATGTGTTCATGGCGTTTGTTTTTCTTCTAACCATCGCTCTTGCCCACCATGGTGTAATGTTGTGGAAGTCGATAAATGGAGAAGAAGCATGCTGCCAAACAATTTCCTGATGTCTGACATATGTTTCAAACATGTTTTCAATATTAAAAACATGTTTGAAACATTTTTAGAGCAGTTTCTATTCATTTTGAGCCCATCTTTAACTCAATGCTAGCTCGGATTGTTAGAGTGTCCAATGCCATGGCATCCGCAAGAGTTATGACAATGCCATGCAGATCCGTCGAGCAGGCAACCGACCGAGGTGAGGCAATCGGCCCTTGCCTGTCAAGGCGGCGTGGGTCCACCCGGCGCCTGCGCAGGCAGACGTCGGGCGCGCTCCTCCCCTGCTCTCTCGCCTCCCCTCTCCTCGTGTCTGCCTTCTGCTCTCCGCTCTCTGGCTCTCTCTCTCTCTCTCTGTTTCCCTCAGGTGTATACACATACGTACGTATATATAGATATCTATGCATACATAGATTTGTATAGACATATGTACATCGGTCTCGCTATCCTGCTCGTTCCCCTCTTCTCCTCTGGCTCATCCCAGTCTCCTCGCTCTCTGTCTCTCCTCCCTTTCTGGCCCCTCCTGCTCTACCTTCCTCTCCTCTTCCTTTCCCCCTCTTGTTCTTCCTGCTTCTCCCCTTCTCTCGCCCCCCGCCTCCTCTCTCTTCTCACCTCGCTTGTCTATGACCTTCCCCCTCTCCTCTCCCTTCTCTCTCTCGTCCTCCCGACGCCTTTGGTCGTTCTGAATCGCGCTCTCGCGCCAGCGCCTGCTACATTTTTTTGTTTGCTTGTTTTTTTGTGTGGTTTTTGGTTAAACTAAAAAATCAAGCATAAAAAGCACACGTGCCCATCATTGGTTTGCGCAGAGTTTTCGCACTCAGCGCTTCGCGATACGGCTGTCTTCCCCCCCCCCCACACACTTGACTTCTCTGCCGTTCTGGCGGGCGCTCTCGCCCCAGCGACTGCCACAGCGCCGCGCCCCCTGCACAGGGCAGGCACGGAACACCACTCGCTTTTCCCTCGCGGGACGTCCTGCCGTCGGCCCGCCGCTCCCTCGCGCCTGGTTTTCTCACTCTGGCTGTGGCCAGTCGCGAGTTTTTTCTGCTGTGGGTGTGTGTGGGTGTGTCTGGGTGTCTGGGTGTGAGTGTGTGTGTGTGTGTGCGTGTGTGTGCGTGTGTGTGTGTGTGTGTGTGTGTGTGTGTGTGTTTGATTGTTTTGTGTCTGCGTGCTCTGGTCGTTTCGCACGGCGCTCTCGCCGTGGCGCCTGCCGCACCTCTGCCTCCCAGTCACAGGCGGTCCTTCGGAGCATCGCTCTCCCCTCCCTCCGGCGCCGTCCTCGCTTCGACCCACCCCGGCGTATGCTTCACCTGCTCGGGGCATCCGTGATCGTGGCCCGCCTGCTCCGTGCTCTGCGTCTGGTGTTGAGCGTGTGTGGGGCGCCACCCCCGCCGACAGCCCCAAATCGACTCCCGTCTGCAAGTTCGGAGATTGCCACCTGCCTGCCTTCTCCTCCCTCTTGCATGCTGGCCAGTTTGCTTTTCGGTCCCGCCGTCCAAATCTTTCGATGGTGCGGCCAACTCTGCTTTGCCGCCGACGGACAAAAGGAAGTTCGGAGATCTTCGGGATGCTGTGGGAGCCACACTCTTCGAGCTTCTTGCCTGCGTTCTCCCTCGGCCCCGCGAGCGTTGCATCGTCCGCGTGCTTGGACATGGCCACCAGGCTCTCCCTGTCGGCAGACGTGTACGGATCTGAGAGGAGCCTCGTGAGCCTCGTTTGGGAATGCTCCTTCCGTCCAGTGGCAATGGTCTCGAAGTGGCCGTCGGAATCCACCATCGCCCCGTTGAGTCTATACACCGTCTTGTTGAGAGTGGATTCCCAATCAGAGCTGTTGGGCAGGTGGCAGTATTATGTCGGCACCTCTGCGTAGATCAGCTCCCGACTGGGGGTGTACAGAAACGCCCTTGAAATGTCAAAGCATACTCTCGCATGTTCTTGATGACCACGTAGACCATCAGCAGCTTGAGTGAGAACGAGAGTGGTGTGGGGCAGTAATGCTCATTCTTGCTCTTCGTCACCTGCTTGTCAAAGAGTCTCAAGCACAGCCTTCCCTGGAATTTTCCACTTCGCACCTCCAGAACCGACGTCCATGTCAGAGGCTTGGGTCCGTTACACTCTGTGAGCGCCAGCTCCCGCGCGTTGCAGTCGCCGGCTGTCCAGCCCATGGCGATGCTGAAGTCGCTGTCCTCGTTCGTCTCCTTGTCGACCTCGCCGAGGAGGGTTATCGTCTCCTCCGTGCCAAACTCCGCGACGAGCTGGCGCCAGCTCCTAGCCCTCCAGCGAGTTGATCGCCCCCGCGATGCCTCGGCTTCCAGGTGGACCGCCCGCTTCACCAGCACCTCGCCTCGTAGGACTTGACATCTTGGCCGTCGCATCTTCCTTGCCATGCCGCCTCGTGCGTGCTCCCGTGCCGCGCCCGTGAGACGGCCTCGCCTCGCTCCTGCCCCTGGTCGTTGTCGGCACCTGGCTGGCCTCCAGGCTTAGGGTTAAGTCGGGCCTGTCCCCCTACAGGGTGATTTTCGACGAAAAATAAAAGATACCCCAAAAAATGATGAAGAAATAGTGCCAAAAATAGTCTGGGGACTGTTTTTCTGCTATTTTTCGACCTTTTTGGGGGTATTCTGTAGTTTTTTTTTTTTTTTTTTTTTTTTTGTTGTGTTTTGTTCATTTTTCGTCGAAGATCCCCCTGTAGGGGGACACGCCCGACCTAAGCTTAGGGACTGCCGAGACAGGAGCCGCAACCACCCGCGGCCCCTCTTCCTTCTGTGCGGTCCGTGGCACCCTCGTGCTCGGCGCGCCGCTCCTCGCCGCTCCTCGCGCGCCCTCGCGGGGCGTGGTGGGCGCCGTCGCCCATGCTGACCTTCGGCCGCACGCTCACACCCAGGACATCCCTCCGTAGGCCGCCAATTCTCGCCCTCGTACAGGGGAATAAAGTGGCATGACTCGGAGGTCCGCGCGGATTTCTCGGGTCGGCGCTCACACCCAGGACATCCCTCCGCAGGCTGCCAATTCTCGCCCTCGTACAGGGGAACAAGAAGTGGCATGAACATAAAAACTCGGAGGTCCGCGCGGATTTCTCGGGTCGGCGCCGGGGCCCCCCGGCGGCGCCTCCGGCGCCGCCCCTGGCGCGCTCCGCGCGCCAGGGAGGAGGGTCCAGCGCCGATCCGAGAAATCCGCGCGGACCTCTGAGTTTTTATGTTTATGCCACTTTTTGTTCTCCTATTGTAGACTTCAGCCATCACCGAAATCCTCCAGGGCGTCCACAACGCGTCGCTTCAAACGTCTCCATGTCCGAACTCTCCTCGAGGGGTGACTGCTTGACCGTCCTCGCTTGCCTCGCATCGGTGGTTGCCCCAGCCAGGTTTGTGCCCGTCTTGCTGCTGCGGCCCAGCCACGTGCCCGTTCGCCAGGCCGTGCCGAGCTTCTCGGCCACCTCCACCAGGTTCTTTCCGACGGCCGTCCAGCACGGGTGAGGTGGGGCGCGAGCCGCAGCTCCTCGAAGGGTGTTTGGACGCTGCTTCTCCTCCTCTGGTACCTGCTGTAGCAGAACACCAGGTTCCTCACCATCCAGGGGACGACGGGCATGTCCTCCGTGATCCTGGTGTTGTCGTTCTACTCCAGGCTGAGCTTCCCAGTCTTGCCGAGCCAGCGATCGTCTTGACTCCACTCTCGACTGAGCTTTTTTGGCCTGGTGGCTGCTCTTCGGGACCGCGCGCAGACGCAGCTGCGCCTCCGCGGCCTCCCTCCCCAGCTTCCGGACCCTGTCGGCGAGAACCCCGCCCACGAGCGCCCCAAGGCCTGGCTCGCCGTGTCGAACTGTGCCTCCGTGCTCATGCAGCGCTCAGCTCGTCCAGGCACTTGCTCGCCGCCGCCCTGGCGCAGCCCTCGTCCCCCGTTCGGCTCGGCGCTGGCCTCCGCGAGGGGCCCCGTTCTCCGATCCGTGTCCGCGGCCGCAGCTAGGGGGGCCGCGCGCGAAGCCTGCCCCCGCCCCCCACGATTTCTGAGGGGCAGGGTGGGGGCAGGCTTCGCTCGGGAGCTCCCGAGCGAAGTGAACCCCACCCTCCCCCTAGCAGTGGCCCGCGCGTGGCCCCCTAGCAGTGAGGCTGTGTCCCGGGCGGTCCTCTCCTCAGCCTTAGGAGTGCCCGCGGTCGAAGCGGATGGCCAGCGCAGCTGCTGCCGCTGGATCTCGTGCTCGGCATGGGTCCTCTTGACGTCCTGCTCATCATGCAGTCCCTGCACCAGGCCGCGAGCTCGGCGGCGAGCGAGGGGGGAAATGAGAAGGCGAAGGCCTTCTCAGAAGGCGACGGGACTTCTCAGAAGCCCGCCGGCCTTCCGAGAAGTGTTCTGCCCCTTCGGGGAAGGCTCAGAAAACTTCTCAGAAGGCCGGGGGACTTCCGAACCTTCTGAGAAGGCCCGCCCCTTCTCACTTCCCCCCTGGGCGCGCCGCCTACGAACGGGATGTGACCCCGTCGTCGACGAGCTTCCGTCGCTCTGCCTGGAACCTCGACACGCCTCCCGAGTCCAGGCGCTCTGGGTCTCGGGAGCCTCTCGGGCAAAACTGAGACGAGGATCACGTTTTAATAGTAGTAGTCGTAGTAGTAGTAGTAGTAGTAGTAGTAGTAGTAGTAGTAGTAGTAGTAGTAGTAGTAGTAGTAGTAGTAGTAGTAGTAGTAGTAGTAGTAGTAGTAGTAGTAGTAGTAGTAGTAGTAGTAGTAGTAGAAATAGAAG